TAGTTACAACTTTTTAATCTTTGTTCATGTATAGTAATTATAACTGTACAGTAATAGGGTCACATTCTGACTTTCAGGTTCAGATGCAGAACGAGCTGCTGTACGCCATGCATTCAAGTTTGGCAGCCGCAGGGAGCAGAAAGTTTATAAACCTGAGGCAGAAGATGTTTCCTTCAAGATCACCATCCCACCTGTGGTAGCCACAGGGAAGGACTTTAATGTCCAGCTAGACTTGAAGAATAATGGTAACAGCATTAGGGATGTCAAGGCCACCTTGACTGCCCTCACTAGCTTCTACACTGGTGTGCCCTCAGATCGCATCAAATGTCAGACATTTGAAATAACTTTGGATCCAGATCAAGGTCAGAGTTTTTCACCTTTTTTCAGATGTGATTTTTTCTTCTTCTTCTCTGTCTCTCTCTTTGCATTTTGAATTTTTAAGACTGGATTAAGCAACTAACAAAGAGCTACACTGTTACCTTCTTGCCCATTTTCTGTACATATTCATATGGCAGTTTAAATTCACAGGAAATTTGCTAAAATATTCTTTCACTAAAGCAAGTAGATGATAATGTTGTAACAAGGGTATTGCAACTGTTGTAGAAAAGAGCATTGACATTGATGTGCTAGCAGACGACTACATGGAACTGCTGAAACCTGATGCACTGATCCAGGTGTATGCCAAGGCCAGGGTGCAGCAGACAGGACAGGCATTTGTTAGAGAGGACACCGTGGATCTGTCACCTAGCATGGAGGTTGACGTGTTGAAGGTAGGTGCACTCATCATACTATATCACTTGCTTGTTAGCAAAGGTTACACTTGAATATTTTATTGCAATTGTATTTGTGATGAAACTATTTGAAACTTGTCACTTGAATGACGGAGTTGTAGAGATAAAATATACCAGCGTCTACCAATAATTGTGTTTCATATTTACAGCTACAAGCTCCAGAAAGAGTGAATAGATCTGAGCCATTTGAATTGCGTATGAAGTTCACTAACCCTCTGAAGATCCCCATCACTAAAGGGATGTTTCGCATTGAAGCTGCTCACATTGTACGCAGCAAGGTCATTCCTATAAAGTGAGTGGAGAGTTCAATTCTAACTGAATGATTATTAATGACTTTTAGATTTGTTTAATATCTGATGCCTGTAGTGTGGACATAGGTTTAGATTTCCTGTGAAATTGTAACAGATAATGAAAGATTGTATTTAGATACACAGTTTATGTTTGCTGCCTTTGTTAAATGCTTTTCACTGTTTTCAACTGTTAAAAAATTCCATTATATACACCAACAAAGCTCATTATTAATACTATCTCAATCAGCACTATTAACCCAAGTTGGAGTTCTAAGCTTTTGACCACCTATTTCACTTTCAACAGTCAACCCATTCAAATGTAACAGCATGCAGTTTGTTAACTTTAGATAACTCGGAGTGCGTAATCCTTTATTTGAGTTTATTAGGACTGACATATGTTCTCTTCAGACAAACCATCGCTCCAGGTGCGGAAGTGGTGGAGACTTGTGTGTTGACAGCAAAGCTGCTAGGCCAGACAGAAATTCTGGTCAATTTTTCTTCAGATCAGATGGTTGGAATTTATGCCTCAACCAATTTATATGTCCACATTTGATGATGTAAGATAGTCTATGGATTAGATAGAATTTTTCTTTTTCAATTTACAAGACAAAAATGTGTATAGATATAAAAATGTCTTCTTCACAGGGAAAAACTACTAGAGGCATTCCAGTCCAGCTTAAGCTGATTTTGCACTTATCTACTTTTTTAATCTTTCACAATATTTTTATCTGCATTGCGTATAACCCTTTTCACTTTCTTTGAGGCAGTTTATTTCTAGTGTTTTTAAGTATTGCATTGTTATGGTGGGGGTGAAAAAGTCGACCCCTTTTGATCCCTTGGAAAATACAAATGATGTTTGTCTATTATATTATTATATGGATAACACGTGTACTGGTTAATTTTTTTTTAATTTACAAACCAATTTAAAGAAATGAACAAGGGTGAGAATGGTGTTTTTCTTATCTTTTCACTTCATCTCTGTACTCAGCCAGCAAAACAAGCTGGTATCCCGCTTCTTTGAAAACATCTTTATTTTAAGAATAAAGAATGCTTTTTTAAACTTTCTTTGCAAATATAAGTTTCCTTTTTTGGTTTAAATTGGGCATAATTTCATTTCTACCATTTAATTTCAATCAAGACCTTATCTTTATTTATATAATTTCTCCATGTTTTAGGAAACCTGTAGGCCCAGGGGCAGAGATAGAGATAGTGACAGAGCTCACCTCAGCACGTTCTGGCAAAAAAGAAATCATAGTTGGATTTAGTTCTGACAAATTAGATGGTATCTCTTCATCAGTTGAAGTGTATGTGCCTTATTCTTCTTAATGGTATATTTGTAAGTTGGACATTCACTTGTGCACATTTCAAGGGGTATTGTGCAGTAGTTGTGATTTTTAAGGTATCAGTGTATATGCAATGAAGGATGGTGAATTCAATTAGTAAAATACTAGTAATATCTGATGAGCTTACATATCTATTAAAGCAATTTCGAACAATTTGTCAGTGATGTTTCTGGAATTTTGTCATTTTCCTAGTGTCATCAAGTTGTCCAGGACACACAAATTCTGGCTTTGTTGAGTTTACATGACTTAACTTTTTGAAGACTGCATTTTATCCCCTGGCTTCAGCATTATTTGGCTTTAGACAAACAAATTATTACACGCACAATTTACATTTATAACTACACAGAAGCAGAGATTGTTATCTCACTGCTTCAGAAGAATGCATTTTCCAAATGGAACAGAAGTTCAGACTATATAAAACACATTTAAAATGACATTTCAGAATATTAAGGCAGAATATTATGGCAGCTGGTTATCATTACTAGACAATCAAAAGTTGTGCTTAATTTGATTGCAGTAGAATACCATGTACTGTTTTTATTGAAGGGATAACAACTGTTCGTTTGGGCCAAAAAAAGTTTTCCTGGGGTAAACGCCAATTTTTTCACACTCACATATTGTTTATGAATCTGTTCTGACATTCAAAGTTAGTTCCTGTTTTGTTTCTAAAAAGTTTTTTTTATGTACAGACACAGATGTGTCTGTACATATTGCCATCACCTGCGTCTGTCGTCGCCGTCGTCGCCGATGGCGATGCCGATGCCGATGCCGATGCCGATGCCGTGCACTTTCCTTGTAAACACGATAAGTGGAACACAGTTTTATTTTTTGCTTTTATATTTANTTTTTTTTCACTTTTCAGCATATATGCAACACTGTAAACACATTTCAAGAAAAACCGATAGGCTTGTTGTCATGAAACTCACAGGAGTAATTGATCTTACTAAAATGCAAGTCAAGTTCGAAATCGGCATGCAGCCTGAGTTGGAAAAGCAGTCTAATTGGCTTCTTTTTCTGGAAGTTATACATGTTCAAAGTGTGAACTTGAACTCCCATGGGCCTGAAGCCTTATGCTTGTTACACATTTTACTTACATTGGTATTACCTGTTGAGCATAATTAAAATTTGATGTTAAATTTGCAGTTTAACATAATGTACTTTTGCATCAGAATTGACATTAGCCTATTTTGTGCATAGTTATTTCTTGCTTTTTGTCTGTACATTTGACAGCTTTGCTGCCTTGTTTTCAATAATCTCTTAAGAGATTATTGCAGAGGGTAGACATCTATGTAGATCACATGGTCTGATGGCAAGCACAGATACAAGAAGAATTGTGAAAACTGCAGTTTTGATGGTAAAATAGAATTGTATTTCTAGGAGTTGTTTACAATGTATTTATTGTGAAATATGGATCTCATAGGAAAAGTTGTTATCCTTTTAGTCTTTGTTAGCAGCATTTGAATTAAGAAAATTGCTTTTATTAGAAAATGCCTTTTATCTTTGTGTTTGTGGCTCAGACTTGTAAAAATAGCATAGACTAATATATTTACTAATTAATTTTATTTTTAGTAACAATAAACATATTTTCTAGTAAGATTTGAAGATTACATAAAAGTGCAAATTTTTTTCATTCCACCCATGGTCTTTAATATCAATGAACCCATTATTTGCTTACGAAATTAATTTTTTAACTAATTGTCTCTAGCACAAAGTGTTACAAACCCAGTTGTAACAGTTATATTTTCCTTAATTTGAAAGAATAAACATGTTTGCTCTTGTATTTTTAACGAACTTGTCTATATTGGCCTACAACAAGGCTGTTGGTATTGCGTGACGTTAAACGAGACTAGAAAAATGTATGTCATGTACTCTGAAATTTAAAACAAATTATTTATTTCAGACCAATAGCTATACATTCCATTTGTTCATACCTTTATCATGATAAACACTGTCAAAGGAGTTAAATTGGTCCCACTGAATACACTTTCAAATTTATTGAAAGGAATGAAAAGAAAAACTCAAAATTGAAAAGTTGCAATGGCAATTTCAATGTGTTTGAGACATGCTTTAGAGCTACAAAGGATAGCATGCTATAAATTCACTACACAAAGTATATATATTTATATATGTCTAAATAGATACATTTAAAAGGCTTAAAACATGAATTTCCCAAAAATCAGGACAATACATGATCTGGATGTAAAATTGTGGACGGTTCACTTTTAAATCTGCTTTTAAAAAAATGAAAGATTACTGAATACACTTCCTGTTTGGAGCATACATACATATATATATATATATATATATATATATATATATATATATATATATATATATATTTGGTCATTTCAAATGGCCACTTTGTTTAAATTCATAAAATTCATAAAACTGATGTTAGAATGACAGCTCATCTCTGCCTAAACTGACAAAAGAAAAAATTGCCTTTGCGCTGGTAGTTAGAAGTTTCTGACTTACTGGTGACACTATATAAGAAAGATCATAAATAAAGACAACATGAAGTAACCTAACAGCCTTAAGTATCAAGTGCAAAAAGCAATTTATCAAAATATTTTACCAAATCATAAACAATTACTAAATTACTTTAGCTTTCACAAATTAGGAATTCCAAATATTTGTGTTAAAGTTATTAAAGGCAATTCTACTGTTATGATAGAGGTGCTCTTTCATTTAATGTGTATAATGAGGACTACATGTGTGCTAATTCAGCTCTGTCATAGAAACAGTAAGTGTGCATTTTTGTCTTACCCCTTCTAGGAGAGTGATGTGGACAAATTTAAAATGTCTTTTTCGATCAGCAATTTCCTAAGAATACATCTGGGTTTAACAAACGTGTTGAACACCTATTAAAAAACTAAAGTATATATAATTTTCGAAATTAAGATATAATATAAGTAACACTAAACAACAAGAGAAAAATAAAATATGTATCTTAACATGAATTCTAAGACCTGAATGAATGCATATTTTCACAATAGTTGCAATATATAATGCACATTTTAAATAAATGTAAAGCAGACACAAAAGTTTGTGACCGACAAGTTTCTTTTCACAAATCCCTTCGATATCACCCAAGCTTCCATGCGTTCTTCATCATTAAGTCAAAATAGGCATCACTATCTATAGATGCGCTGACGCCAGCATAGTAGTTATTAAATTCATCCTTCGTAATCTGAAATAACAAAAATAAAATGCTAATTTTATGGCAATCGGTCAAGTATAAATATTGATCAAGTAACATATCTTGTTCCAAAGTTTGTGTGAACTGTGTAATTAGGTCTCACATTTGTTATATTAATATCAGTTAACAGAGCCGTAATTTTAAAGCTTGCAGTGCCCATTCATTTGCATTTGCAATGTAAAGTTATGAATAACAAACAATGAGTAACTATACATTCACTATAACACACTTGCAGTTGAAGTTGTAGTTGTTTTACATTATAGAAAATATTTTGAAAGCTATCCTTTAAGTATGTACAGGTAGGGTGGGTAATGTATAAATAAGTAACAATAACCACAAGTAAGCAGATAACTTAGTGCCATAAGTCTAGCAAGTCTTTCTACACCCTTTCTGTTTTTCAATCCTTCAGATCAACCAGTTGTATGCTTGTGGCAGCAAGCTGAATACTTATGCAACTTTAAATTAACAATATCTACCAACTGGATGGTCATGCACATTAAACATCTTATACAACAGTACAACATATCTAATCTAGCATTAGTAATATTGATAATATTTGTTTCCCACTTGACAACCAGACTTAATATAAGTTAAAGAAAAAAGATTATCCCACACAAACAAACATGGGTACCAGTATCTGTAAATGAAAAAATACTGAATGCATTTTTAACACTCTCTGTACCAATTTGATAGAGGGGAAATGAAAAAAAAAATGATGAGAAGTTTCCATGACAACTTATTATTACGTACACACATTTCAGACACCTTTACACTTCATGGTGGTCAAGTGTAGTTTGTTACAACCTATGAGACACAAAGATGCACCCAGAGCACCACAAGCAGTGTAAATTAAAGCATACACAATGATTCACCATAATATCATAATAACAGTGAATTGTACTGATAATTAAAGCTAGAAACCTGTAAAAATATTTGGTCTGAGCATGTTAAAAGCACTAAAAGTTTTCATAGGGGCATAATGTTTTGGTGGATGATTTTGGTGCGAAACTAAGGGTTTTTTAAACACCTCCTTGCAACTAATAATTTTAAGGGTTATAAGGAATATCTGTGTAAATTTGGAATATTCTCCTAGTCACCTATAAATCATTAGCAGAGCATCCTAAAGAACAGTTTTTAAAAAGTACAGAATGAAGGTTTCATACCAGATATGCCTGAATCAGCCCCTCAGTATTTTTCATCAAATTTATTTGACAGCCTTAATAATTGGAAGAATTCACAATTGATTTCAATATCGGCATCTTATGCATTTAGAATTACATCTCAAAATTCAGCATGCATTAGCAAACATCAAGAAAAATGCATTAAATTATTGTAGAGACTTTCTGTTTAGAAGTTAAGACAACCAAAAGGCAGAGCACCAGTGAAAATCGATAAATTTCACATTTTCACTGACAAAATCTGACGTACAATTCACATTAGTCGTAATTTTGATGGCATGTTTTGCAGTCCTCCCCCATGGCTTCACATAGTCTTTGAAACTATATGAATAGTTTCTTTGGTGACTGAGAAAAAAGAAAATCATCTCTGAAAATACTGATATTCACATCAACAGTCTGATCGGGAAAAGGGTCAATACAAAATCTATTCTAAAAATAAGGTGAACTAGTACTTTACATTTGACATTTTTAATCAAAAGAGCAACTGCAGTCACCAAAATGGATGATAAGAAGTGCTACACTGCGAAAGGCAGAAGAAATGGTGCCCTTGAAAGCAGTATGTTTATGCTATCAATTGCAATCAATATAGTGATATATCAAGATAAAATGAGATTTTCACAACAGTTGCAAATGCCTGAAAGGAGGGGGGGGGGGGTCTTTCATTTATTTTTTTTACATTGTATATTTCATGTAACTAATCTGGAGGAGGAATAGAATATTTGGAGGTGAAAGATTGATATTTAAAAGGCAAGTAACTATGTGAAAATTCTTTTATACAAGTCTTATGTACATAATCCTACGTACAAATCTATAAAATGTGCATATAAATTAAGTTAATTAAAAAAATACAAGAAAAATATTTTAAGATGACAAACATACTGTCACTCTGCGTGTTTGTGAATGCTGATAAATAAAGACAGTTCAATGTGATTAGTAATAAGTATATTTACTAGGATCTAATTTGTTATTGTAAAACACAGTTAGTAGAATGCTTTTTAATTGCTTTTGAAATTCTATTTGAACTGTGTTATTACATATGAAAAAAAATGTGATTAAAGGACAAAAACAATGAATGAAAGGAAAAGAATAATGGAATTCCATGCATTGTTTGCAGAGCTTCAATCACAGATCACTTGTTTTAAACTCCACTGCAGTTTTACATTCTGTACCATATACCCAACAATATGGCACATGGTAAGGACTGTTTTAAAACTGCACCTCTGACAATAAAGCATGTCAATAATCATGCCAGTCACTTCTTTGTCTGCTTCAGCTTAAAAGATATCACTTCAAAAACTCTGAAAAACATTGCATGGCCAAGTAGTAATCACACTCAATTCCAGAAAAGATCAAACTGAAGGCCTAATTCACCCGAGGGTATTATCCATATTTAGAAACCTTGGTGAATACCTGCATACAAGTCTACAAGAGTGAAAAGACATTTACCACATCACAACAGCTATGATATCTAGTTCATTTTGTCTGCAGGTCTCATTTCCTACCTTTTCAACCCAAATTTACTTTATCTCATAGAATTTTTTGGATAAAAAGAATGACATAACAGAAATGCATTTTCAACAAGAAACCATGTGATGTGCTATGATTTCTACGCAAGGTTAGGTAACAAAAACATAGGCACTAATAACCAGAGTAATGAACTCCCAGCTCCACGTGAAATAATAATTACCATTACATGCAAGAGAAACCAGCCATAAGGCTATAATTTCCATGCATTCTTCATCATCAAGTCAAAATAGGCATCCTGATCAATGGACGCACTAACTCCAGCATAGTAGTTTTGAAATTCATCCAGAGTGATCTGAGTAGGAAAGCAACACAAGCGTTGTTTAACATTTAAAAACAGAAAAATGTGAACCAAACTGCACATCCTGGCAAACAACATGTACTGGAACACAATTTACAATCAAACAACTTCAGAACAAAGTGCACCTGTAAATCAAAATTCTGCAATTTGTAATTTGAGTAGAGCCCTGTCTATTTAAAATAAATGATAATTCAATAGATCACAAAAACAACAACAACTATTTAGCAGTGCATTGAAACAATGTTGCAACCAAGCTGTTAAAAATTAGCATAAGCATTCACGACAAAGGGCACTATTATTTGAAGCTTGAATGCAATTGTTTTGGTTCTCCCTAATATAGGACTTCTGCAATATCCAGCAAAACTGTAGAAGCAATAACAAAATTCTATGAATGTTAACATCTGCAAATTTAAAGAAACTCACCTTGCCATCTTGTTCTATTGTATCAAAATTTTTAAGAAAATCATAAAGGCATTCATCTTCTGTTTTTTCACCATTCAGAAACTTGGGATGCTTGGCAACACTGTAGACTCCATGCAAGTCTTCAACAGTAACTATTCCATCACCAGATTTATCTAGTTTCCTGAATGCTTGATTTATCAGGTTTACTCGGTTCTTGGACATTGCAGGCTAAATATGAGAACGTATGACATATATGAGAACATATTACAAAATGGCATTTTAAAAACTCACTGTCATAAAAACACATTTAAACACTATATTCAAAAGTAAATATAGTCATTTTAAAGAAAGCAATTGTACCAATGTTTTGAAAAATAAATATGTACTGTTATGAAAAAGTCAAGGAAAGTTCTTTGGGTAACCACTACAATGTACCTCTTTATTGCTTCAACATACCCTTAAAGCAATGAGAAATTCATCAAAGTCCAATGTCCCACTTCCATCTGTATCCAGTTCTTGAAAAAGTTCTTGCTGCTCATGTTTATCAAGATCAACTCCATAGTCTCGTAACCCTTTAACAAACTCTCTGTATTCTATTTTCCTGTTTCCATCATCATCCATAATTCTGAATGCTCTGTCAAATAAAATCCTTTGACTTTATACAAAATCATTTCAAGACATATAATATATTTACTAAAATTTAGGGACATTCCAAAATATTGCAAACATGAAAGAATGTTAACCCACTGTTAGCACAAAATCCATGCATTAGAACTTCTGTTGATGATTTTTGATATGTATTAATTAAAATGGGTCAATAGGACTGCTAGTCATAAATTTCATGCTAGGCCACTAGCTGTCAGCAACAAAAGTCAACATTGGCCTAATGTTGGCTCAATTTCTGCTGGCCAACATTAAAAAACTCACATTGGCCTAAAAATTGAAAAGCTAACACCAACCAAATGCCAACTAGGCAAACATCATCTTGCTATCAAGGTGGGATTAGTACATTACATATCCATTGAGTATCTCTTGTAAATTAAGCCGATCTTTATATCTTCATCTAGTTCTATAATTTTACTTTTTATGCATTTAAACAACAAAATTTGTATCTTTTATAGAAGTACTTGGTATATCCCTTATACATTTACAAAAATCTTGTACTGGAAACACTATAAAAGATTGATCAAGAATAACAATTGTTACTTTCCCACACCATTACCACCCTCCCATCCTACCGGTAGCTACTGGTACTTTGCAGCACCATTACTATGCCTCATCATATTTTAATGATGCTTAAAAATGTTTTTGCTGTAGTCCTGGTATTCACAGTCCAGTCACAGAATAACCCTACTGTACTTCTTAAGTGAAGTATATGTGGGCAGAAATACCAGGATATACTGTACTGTAAGTGTATACAGTAAACCAAACACCTAAAACAGTGTTTTTCAAGTTAATTTGAGGGATTCTCTCTTTCTCCCCCCTCCCCTTTTTGAATCAAAATATCAACGCACATGCACCAAAATAAAGCACTTTCACACTTTTGTTCTTGAGACTGTGTACCCCACTTTCCTTAGACTAGACTACCTCTAATTCGATTCGATTTTAAGTAGAGACTAGGGTCGAGAGTCTACTTAGTATACACACCTTCCCAATCCTTTTATGCCGTTTGCACCTCTAGCGAGACACTGAGCGCGCAGTTTGTCTAATGGCGTTTTTGCTGAGACTGCAGCCTTTTTAGCCTTTTCAATCAATGCTTTTTCTCCTCTGGACGTATGTGCCATCGCGCAGTGGTTGGAGATAATTTGTGTTTATTTTCAATATGCAGGTGCTCGAAAGACTCGCTTTGCGTAGGGATCTCAGTGAATTGAAATCAAATATTTTCTTCCAGTTATAATACCCTCAAGCCTGTAAATAGTTTTAATTAAGTCTCCGGTGTTTTTGGCGTTCTCTGAATTCAACAAATGACAAGGAAATCTTGCGTTAATCTAGAATTTTCAAATAAAATGTCGTCTTTACCACGGAAGTGACGTCAGTAATGTTTTGTCTCTCTTTTCCCTGACAACAGCAGCTTAACGCTAGTCGGGTTCTTGTAATAGTATATCTTATCATATTATTCGTTGGTGTAATATATGTATTATAATAAATTTATTGTGACATAAGCATTTGCTTTTGTGAATAAGATATAAAAATTACATCGTTTCACCACCGCAACCTGAATATTGGATGACCCAATTTATGGCGCGTGTTAAAACCGGTTTGTGACCTATTTACTATCATTTCCACATCCGGCGGAAAGTGAGGCACTGGGTGTTGCATTGCTGTATCAGATAAACAGCTGGTCCCCTACGGTGTCATGTCGAACGTTAAAGTAAACTTACGTCTAGCAGTTTTCTTATCGAAAGAATTTCATTTTATCCTGCTCGATCCTGTTTAGATTTTAGTTTAAGACTGTTTGCGTGCTAGTACGTACAACACTTGAGTGTAGTACAAATGTACATGTGTACTAGTACTAAACTAGCTAGTATGATATGTTACATACCGTACAGTACGATGTTAGAGTACAAGCGCTCCAAGGCAGTATAGAAAGCTAACATGCATAATACAGTAAATATGCAAAAAAATCACAACTTAAAGTGTTGGATATTTGTTAATGTTAAACGTGCACGATAAGACAGAATGGAACAGCCTGAACAGAGGTGCCTTCAGTTCACCAAAGGCAACAGATTCAAAAACTGCATGCAATTTTTACAATTGTCTATTGACCCATTAGAGCCTGCGTCATCAAAACAAACGGCAGCCATACTGGAGGGAGACCGGAATCGTCTGCTGCGCATGAACAAGCCATGTCTGTAGTTCAGTTTTCGTTTTCTGTATTTTCTTTCATATTTAACCGAGCAAAATAATGAATTACTGCAGGGTATTTGGTCGAGAGAAGGTAACTAACTTTACAAGCGTTCACAGACTGCCTGCAGTGGTAAAAATCCATGGTGAAGGAACTAAAACCATAAACGGAGGAGAGACGGCGAGGTGGCTTTGAATCAAGACTCTTCGGAANNNGTTACGGAGCAATATGACGTCACTGTAATCGGTTAATACTGATTAGAGCAATGTATAAGGCAGCTGGTGCCAAGATTGATATTTCATTTTCTAATTCATTAATTTTGTTATACAATGGTATATATTCAGATAGGCATCATAGGAGGCTCAGGGCTTGACAACCCAGATATCTTGGAAGGACGAACAGAAAAGTCTGTCAATACCCCATTTGGAAAGGTATTAATATGTCTAGTGCTTCTAATGTTACATAAGTTAAATTCTGAAAATACAGTCTTATTTATTAATTCCTCACCCCTTCTCCTCAACTTTTCCACTGCCATTTTCTCTCTTTACTACAGTACTTACTAGGCTCAAGTGTTGTTATTTTTATTAATCTTCAACAGATTCACCAGAGCAAACATTACGACCAATAATACTTACCACTTCATTATGTCTTTTTTTTTTAGCCTTCTGATGTTTTGGTGGAGGGGAAGATCAAAGGTGTGGAATGTGTCTTACTGGCAAGGTAAAGTGATATACTAGACTTTTACCAAGTGGCACCACTCGACACACTTTTCATGAGTTTTAACAGCAACAAAAAAAAGCTACTGTAGATGGCTTTGCTGGGTAACACATTGTAAAAAAGTATTGATGAAGAAATTGTTTAATATTAAAAAAGAAGAATCTTCCTCCCAAAGACAGCCCAACCACCACTTCCATATATTGATAAATTTTGACTTGCCCCTTAACACCTCTAATGATTGGTCTATTAATTCCAAAAAATTTGAACTTATTCACTCTTATGGTCTGGGAGAGATATATGAAGTTACAGTGTAGAAAATTAAAATCATCCCCCCCCCCAGGGACAGCCCGTTCCAAAGACACTAAAATTCCAGAGTGGCCATGCACATCCCTGATGATGCTGTAGGTCTGCCAGTCCCTAAAGTTTGAACTTCCTTACTCTAATAATCTAGGAGGAGATAGCGGAAGTATAAAGGACAGTATCACGGTGTGGTTACAAAGAAGGAATAAAACCAAAGTTTCTCTTTCATGTGGTTAGAACATATTTTTCAGTGGAAGCACTGTCTTGAGATCAAACTTTCTGTTAAAAGCACAAATCTCATAGAGTTACATGATTGACTTGGCATTTTTCACTTATTGCACAGCAGGCAAGGCAACTTCTTCCAAGTTTTGCCTTTAAGCAATAAGTTTATAAACATCTTAGATTAAAAAGAAATGAAAAATAAAAACTTATGGACACCTTACTGTAGTTATATATAATATTTTAAGCATCATCACAATCTGTGTCATGTTACAAAATCTCACCATGAAAGTTCTCAATCAATTTGTAAATTTTGGCCCAGTGACTTTGATGTCACTGTATGAAGAGAATATATCAAGAAGTAAAACATACAAACACCAAAATGTATGAACATATGAATATGTATATATGCACATGTAATGTTGATGAAGATTGCAACTTTATTCTAGACATGGGAGAAAACATGAAATTATGCCATCCAACATAAATTTCCGCGCTAATGTGCATGCACTAAAACTTGAGGGTTGCACACATCTAGTTGTCACCACTGCTTGTGGGTCATTACAGGAACATGTGAAACCTGGGGACATGCTCTTTCCTGACCAATTTATTGATAGGTAAGTGAAAGCATTTAGTCGTCTTTGTCCTTGTATACTGTTTTATTTATTAGTATAGTGCCTGAAACAAAAAGGGTACATTTGACAATTTAACATTAGTTTTGCAGCAATCCACTGACAAATAAAAAAGAGATATCTATGATACTAATACTTAGGGCAGTGATAATTGGTATTTCTAGTTACAATTTATTATATAAATACTATGACCACAGTTTTCAAAAAAAGAAAATATATTCTAGCTTAATGTGTATGTTTTGCACATGATGCATTTGCCTTTGGATCGTAAGTCCTAACAATAAAAGAGAAACAAAAAACTTTCAGTGTTTCTGTTTTAGGACCCAGAAAAGGGTTCAAACATTCTATGATGGTACTTGTGAGGAGTACAAGGGAGTGAGCCATATACCAATGCATACACCCTTCTGTGAAAGGACACGCAAGGTAAAATATCTCAACAACTGCTTAAAGTATTTGGGAAAAGTGTAAAAAATATTAGGTTAATTTCTTATTAAGGGAGTGGATGTGTGGATGTAAAGGTATGTTCATGTTGACTCACATTCTGTAAACCTATTAGATGTTCTGGTTTGCACTGCAGATACTAATTGAGAGTACCCAGCAGTTGGGCCTCCTCCACCATACCACTGGCACAGTTCTGACCATAGAAGGTCCCAGGTTCTCATCCAAGGCTGAGAGTAAGTTGTGGAAGTCATGGGGAGCAGATATTATCAACATGACTACAGTGCCAGAGGTACTTCTGATTTTTCCTTTATTTTCACCCAGATTAAAAATACTTCACTTAGACTATGAAGATGATGCAGTGTCATTCAAACATTAAGATAGAAGCAACCCTTGTTTGCTATGTAATTTAAACGTACACCTTTGCCCTAATAACATTTAAGATTTGCTGAATCTTTATATATGCACATTTGTAGTAGTAACTGGGGCAAAAAATGAAAATAAGGTTTACAAATTTTAAAAATAACATTATTTGTATTAGATATTATGTTCTTTTGTGTGCCCATCTCCTATAGTTTTATATTCAGTTTTATTGGAACCTTTATTAAACTCATACATTGTTGCACACCTGGTAATGTTCTGAAAATGTTTTTCTTTATATATTTTTTCACATTTGGAAACATCTGCTATTACGAGTACTAAGGACATTTTCCTAAAAAAAGCCGGCACACAAGTTTACTTCTGGCCAAATTTAACAGTAAAGTCAAATGACAGTGGAGTTATTGGGATGAGGTCTCTGGACTCCCTCTTTCCTCTTTATTGTAGATAATTGTTATTCCAGGTAGTACTTGCCAAGGAGGCAGGGATGAGCTATGCCGCTGTAGGAATGGTGACTGACTATGATAGCTGGCATGAAGATGAGGATCCTGTGAGTTCACAACACAGTAAATTTATGATCACTATATGTGCTAATATGTGCAAGTTATTGGAAAGAGAATGTGTGTGTGTGTGTGTGTGTGTGTGTGTGTGTGTGTGTGTGTGTGTGAAGGGGGGGGAGCATATTACATATAAATATTACTCAAATTGGTGTTAGTTTGGATTTTGCAACCTAATTGATAAGTTTTTCATTTAGCTCGTATATTATCTTTTTTTTAGGTTAGTGTTGATTTAGTATTAGCTACTTTTAAGACAAATGCAGAAAGGGCCCAAAAAATACTCCTCCATGCAATACCTAAAATAGCACAACAAGACTGGACAGCAATAATGCAAGAAAACAAAGTAAGCACCAAGAAATATTTTAGTATCAAAGGTTTATATGTAAGACGCCCTTATGTTTTAAAAATTTTATACCTGTTCATTTATTTATTTTTTTACATATGAGAAAGATTATGTCAGTGGCTATGAAAACAATACAACCTGTTCAAAAACCAACAAATAAACATTGGATAATATACTCAAAAATTTCTTTGCAGGCAGTTGCTCGGTCTTCCATAATGTGAGCCAGGATAACTTTCTAGAAGTCTCTGCTTATTTACAAGGGATGCTCAACTTACATCCATTGGCATTGCATTTTTAAAGGAACCTTAAAAGAGTCTGAGTACATATGGCCAATGTGGATCTGGGCTATTTGTTTCACATGAACAGTTTAAGTCTAAACTACTTTGCAGGGTTCATTTTAGTGTTGTCAGGTGATGATATCTATTAATCAGACATGAAGTTTTTCTGCAGAAATGCGGAATTCTGCATTTTTAAATTCAATTTTGATGGTTCCCGGCCGGTTAGGAGTTGAGTCCCATGATAAATGTTCAGAGTTTTTTGTTTGTTTTTTTTAAACCTAGGCTCATGTCTGATTAATTTAATGATCAATGACCATAGTGGGTCATTAAGAAACAAAAAAGTGATTTAAGATATTTCAATTTTGGAAATTATGCTACATGTAATTAATATTTTTAGATTTAAGCTATGCCATTTCTAATTATTTTAAAGCAATTTTCTCTAATATTGTAAAGCATAACTTGTGCACCAGTATATTCAGCTTGTGAGGTTGAGGATGTGAAGTTTGAACTTGGGTTGAAAGATTATTCATTAAAGGTTTTATGATGCTGTTATATATTAAGGTGAAAGTGTCACATGCATTAAGACATATATGTTTCAAATATAAGGATATAATTATTATGCAAAATTGTTTTCTGGCACTCTCTATATTACGGGCCGTATTGATAAATTTATAGATAAACATAATTTTGTCTGTTTTTTGTCCTTAGGGCTAATGAATTTAATTGATTTAATATTGACCCCCTTTTTTGACATGCTTTTTTATCAAAATCTCAGTTTATTCAGCAAAAGGACAGACAGTTTGACAGAAATGCCATGCCATGTTTGACAAATGTGCAATTATAAACAATCCAGTGAAAGCTTTCCAGTGTGGATTTGTTTCTTCTGCATTGAATAAAAATAAATATTAAATTTTATTACAAAATTATGTCCCATTTGCTCTTGAAATCCAAGCTCAAATGTTTATGTGTAACTTTTCCATAATTCTATCAGTTTTGGAAATATTTAGTATTTAAGTTTCTGTAAAAAAATGTTTGTGTTGATTGTGCTTTGGGTATATGGTGAGAAGTTACAATTGGGGTCTCCTTTCATCATCCAGAGTTTGGGGTCAGTTGGTGCATTTTTACAGGAGAAGCTGCCATTAGATGCTGAAAATCTAATTCTAGAACTGTTAAAGTAAGAGAACTGTTGTTTGTTACATTTTTTAGCAGTGGTGTCAGTATTTCGGTTTTCCATACAGCATACGAGTTGCACTACTTCAAAAAGTGCAACAGCGTCATGTTCAATGGTGAAAATTTTAAAAATTGAAATATTCCAAAACTACAAGAGAAAGTATAATTACTATTGAACTGGTATAGCAAATAATATATTGACAATCTTAATGTGGCTTTGAATTTGACCTTTGAAGTTCTTTTCACTATGAACTGAGATTTGCAAATTTTCTAGCCCTTATATCTCCAAAACTGTTAGGGATACACCCATAGTTGACCTTCGACCCACTTTTCCACATGAAGTGCACTTCACATATTTATAGGCCCTAATTTCATACTAAAGCAGATGCATCCATAGCTACCATTTAACTTGAGTGAGCCTGAATGTTACCTGTTGTGCATAATTAAATTTTGGTATTGCTGTGAAGTAATTTGCAATATTGCATCAAAATCACAAAGTAACCTTTTGTGCATCATTATTTTCTGCTTTTAGTCTGTGCATTTGACAGCTTTGTTGCCTTGTTAATCAAGGAGTTTAAGCACAAACTCCTTGTTTTAGTATACAGACAACGTGTGTGCCTGTACATTTTGATCAATGCCAGTGTCGGCGCTAGTGCTGTCCGAAGATTTGTTCGCCCTGTACCTTCCGAACCGTATTTTTGTTTTACTTCCAATAGTACGGATGATTTTCGTATGGTGGAAAGAAAGACTAGGTTCGATAATCAGTCAAATAGTTTTCGAAAGTTGTTGATTTAATTTATTATGCGTCGTTCACTTTCTAAGTGCCAACACGTATATGTTTTACTTTAAAAAACAGCGATGAAACTTTATTTAGGAAAAAGGAAGGTCATGCTCGAAAATCAGCAAAATCGGAATTTTATTTACGAAATGGACGTTTGCCCATAAAGGCCCAATTGTGTTTTCGTTATCCGTCTTGCTGGGAGACTTTGTTTGGTGAAAAGGCAAGTTGGTTCGAATATCAGCATTATTGTTACAAAATTAATGTCATATATATATATATATATATATATATATATATATATATATATATATATATATATATGATGTATTAAACAACGGACAACAGATTGGATTAAATATGAGGGTTTGTTAAAAGTAAATCCAAATGGCATTTCATTTTGATGTAGAAGTAACCTGTTTAAATTATGAAATAATGCGTGACCGAAGGGGGCAGATCCTCTTGAAAAATAATATTTTCTTAGTGATAGGAATTTTTCTCCACCTCTATTAGAAGTCTTCAGTTGCCTTTGGTCAGCTTCTTCATGAGTACCACAAGTGGCACAAATATCCTGCTTGCATGTACACTATGATGTAGGCTTTAAGACGGACTTTCGATAGTGCGCCCTTCTCCACTAAAAAAAAAGCGTTATTATTTTGAAAATGTCTGGTTCGTCTTAGTTAAGAACAGGAAAAAAAGACAAAACAAATCTGATCACTGCATTGGTCCGTTTATTTCATCTAGTGATATCTGTATGCCACTGATCTAATTAATAAAATTGATTATATCCATAAACGTGACAATGGACTCAATATCGATCAGATTAAACATGGATAGATGTATGGACACACACATTTTTGTTACTTGTGTTTAGTCAGATCAACCGATTTAATAACAACATAATGGACTAAAATTGTTTGCAAAGGTACAAATGTAAATCGATGTCCTTTTCTTTGAAAACGATATTGCGAGCCTACAGTAGGGAGAATAACACCATAGTTCTACAACAAAAGGAGCAAACAAGCGCAGATGGCTTATGTATGCTTTGAATAATTTACGAACTAAAATCTTTAGTAATTCAAATCTTCAGCTTGTTTTAACATTGGACAAACATGTGCATCAATGCTTTATGCAAATAATATACGCACGTTCGTAAGTGTAATCCTTAGTTTGCCTTTAGGACTCATTTTGATATAGTACATGTAATGGAACCTTACACTGTCTGTTTATTGCCTTGTAATGGTGACAGATCCATGCCCGTTATGAGCCTTGCTAGTTCCAGTGGTGTTCGAGCCCGAATTATAGGAGCCCCCTCCGCCCCCGCAGGAATTGCTGTTGTTATCCCCACTCGCTCCCCCAGAGTACCCTCCCCCTCCTCCTGCTCCTCCGCCATTGCCGTAAGCCCCTCCGCCACCACCAAACCCGCCATCTGCATTGTAGTTTGCTGAGCCGTAATATTTAGATCTTCCTCCCACTCCTCCATTAACAAAAGCTTTCCCGCCCTCGCCCCCTGTACCGCTACCTCCATACTGGGAACTGCTGCGTCCGTCGGTTAACAGGCCACCTCCGCCGCCCCCAGAGTTACTGCTGTCTGCTGTGGACGCTCCTTGTCCATTGGAGCCGCCTGGCCAAGCCGAGCCGCCGTAGCCGTTGTTGCCGGTGGTGCTCGTGGTCCCGCCGCACGTGTCGTATGCCGCACTGGGGGTTTCCACACCTCCTCCACCGCCAGCAATAATTAAAGGAGTGTCATCAGCCCGCGTTACAAATGTACCGCCGCCTCCACCAGTTGAAGAATAAGTATTTACAGGACCCATCTGTCCGACTAAAATCTTCAACTCGTCACCTAAGGATTACGAAGCATGAGCAAATTTACAATTTTGTATTGATACTTTTCTAATCACTGTTTATTCACACAATTTATCAGAAATTGCGTGTTTTTTTAAACACATGCAAGATAGGAAGGAACCGCTAAATCCATTTGCTGCTATTTCGAATTTATATCGGAAGTTTTGAGCCTCTAAATACCCAAACATTACACACACACACACACACACACACACACACACACACACAGAGAGAGAGAGAGAGAGAGAGAGAGAACTCATAGGAGCGGACATACAGATGCACGGACCGAGCGTTTTACCTGCATTTAAACTGAATGTCCCTGCGACCACGGCCCCTAGGGCGCGATGTTGGCAGTTATTTTGATTCTGGTCACAGCCTCCTGCGGCACCTAAAATAACGATCACTGACTTTACTTTTGGTGTTGTAAGGCATAAATTAACTGATTATGATATTGATAGGCTATGTACATATCTTGACTGTGTGTGTGTGTGTGTGTGTGTGTGTACAAGGGGAGAGAATAAATCTTGCCAGACCCTAACAAAACCATCTATTTTCAAGATGCTGAAACGAAGACCACCATTTTTCCATGAAATCTAGCACTTTAGGGCACCTACCTTTCACTTCGATCCTGTAGTTGCCTGTCATGGGTACAGTGAAAAACTGGATACCATTGATTAAGGTCACCATTCCCTCGTGGTCCTGGCCATCATAGTGAGAACCTATGGAAGTGGGCCCAGTTCTCCCTGTGGCGCCAAGATTGGTAAATGTCGCCGTGTTGAAAGCTGAAAGTGAGTTGAAAGGAGTTATTGAACTATTTCGTCATTTACAGTTTGACGGATCGCATTTGGATACAGAATCATTTTGTTCAGTCGATCACAGGAATAACGATTAACTATGGCTGTGTTCCCAGACCTTTTAGATCGATCTATCCCCGCGGGGAGTCTCACTAGATTACTGTCAGATAAACCGGCTTAAATGTCCGTCCCGCCTACTACAAGCTGTAAGAGGGTAATTAACTTTCGTGTCCGCTCGGCTGACAGCTATTTAGCGTGAACCCCCAGGGAGTTAGGTCGATCTAAAGTAGATCGATCTAATCTCTGGAAATGGGGTCATAGCATTAGTAGTTAATACTCAGGGGCGGATTTAGGCCGTCTTCTGGGTCTTCCGGAAGACGGTCAGATTTTCAAGTTTACATTGACGGGTATCTAATTTTTTCTGTTGGAAGACGGTCAAAAATAGAGGATGGATCAACAGAGATAATTGGGAAGACTCTCAGAAAATATCTCTAGATCCGCCCCTGAATACTTATGGTTATAAAATAAACTCAGAATATAAATCTGTTTTCGTTAATCTGAGGTCTGATATAATATTGACAGAAGTCATCACCAAATATAAAAGGTAACTGGCTGATAACATCACCGATTATTTTTAACGGCTAAAAAAGGGAAATCCGTAAAATATGTGTCAATTTTTGTTATCTTAAAGGACAATCACTTTTCTGGGATCTGCAGGTCAACATATCGACTTTAGCCAGTCCTTAATTGTATACTTTAAAAAATAACTCGTGATTTAAATCGATCAGGTTGCACGTCTGACAACACTAATGCATATCAAAAAGTATTCAGCATAATGTAGTTTACCATGGCGATGGCATTGGCGTTCGACATTGACAGTAAGGACAGTAGGTCCGATGAATAAGAGGAGCTGCATTTTTCCAGCTGCAGAAAGACTTACGTATCTGGCACGTTCTACCATCCGAGCTGAGCAGCTTATCCCCAGTACACTCACACTTGTAACCGCCCCACGTGTTGATGCACGTCTCTTCACAGTCATGAGAACCGCTCGTACACTCATCCTTGTCTGCCATAATTTTAAAAATAAATATTTGTTATTGATATAAATTTTGTAGATAAAAAACGTCCAGTTCTTTGATTTAATTATGAGCATACAAATATATTACATAATGTAGGTATATTAGTCTAATGATTTCCCAACCAGTAAGAAAATAGTCTTACCCAGTAATAACCGACACAATCCGCCGTTGGGGATATACTTTGCAGAAGTGCAAGTAAATCCTTCGTTTCCCTTAGGAGTAAATTTGTTACACTCTGCAAAACATTCTCCGATGCTCATGGGGGCCTCGTGAAACACTGCGGAGAGGTTAGCATACTGGGAGTACCCGGCACCATCCACTACGACACCTGAAGACATAAGCGATGGGCTATAAACTCGATAAAAACAATTCCATTTGTTGCAAACCAAGTTATCTCTGAAGCTCAGGGTGCTTGAACACAGACTGTACACCAGAAAAAAAACCATCAGATAGAGATTTGATCTGCATAAAAAGTTTTAACCACAACTGACGTGTCATTGACAGTAGTAGAAGTGGGCAACTTTGGCTTACTCGATTTTTGGATTTCTGAGTACCTTATAGCTTACAATAGAGTGTGTCAACAATGAAGACAGCATTTCTTTTGTATTTTTGGGCAACNTTGACACACTCTATTGTAAGTCGAAGTTGCCCAAAAATACAAAAGAAATGCTGTCTTCATTGTTGACACACTCTATTGTAAGTCGAAGTTGCCCAAAAATACAAAAGAAATGCTGTCTTCATTGTTGACACACTCTATTGTAAGCTATAAGGTACTCAGAAATCCAAAAATCGAGTAAGCCAAAGTTGCCCACTTCTACTGACAGTTCTACGAAAGCAGTTTTATGCCTATCCCTACACGTTGCTTGAACATTCTCGTGTATGGAATTCAACAATAAACGTAATACAAGACATGTATTCCCATGTCCGGGTAATACCAAAGACCATAAAAAAACGGTACCCGATGCCTCCTAGCTAAGCACTCAGCACATGAAGGATGTAGCAAAGTTATATGGTGATGATGGCCTGAGAGCTTTAAAACGGGTGAGGAAATGGCCTGTAAAATGTCTGTAAACACTAAGTGCCCAGTAAAGTACATGTAGTATTATTATTATTGTTAATTTGAGCATCACATATACCGGTGCTTGGGTGAAATGGGTGAAATATATGAAGTGTAGAAAAGCCAGCAACTAGCAGATTTTAACCAAAGCTTTACAATGTACAGTATGAGTTGTAATAATTACTGCATAAATCATAATTAATATCATTACAAACATCAGAAACATGGGATCACATCGGATACCAATTGTTAAAATAATCGACAAAAATGTTGATTGAACCATTTTGACAGAGTGACGTGTCACCAACCTTCTAAGATATTATTTATTAATGAATCATTTTTTAAGATAAAAATACAAAATTACATAGTATTGCATGTCGTTAAAACATGAATATAAAAAATAACTCATCAGAAAGCCTTTTAAGTAGTCCCTCAAGCATGTACCATGAATAACTGGAATGAGGCAACTGACACATGATCCAAAATATGATTTACTATTCTGAATGTTCTAAAACATCGTTGCATCTCCAAAAACAAAAAATGAAGTGCATGATGGAAGAAAAGATAACAACAAATGGATTTTGGCCGCGTTTTCATATTTTATGATACGGTTGCACGGAAACCATCAACTTTCACCCGCAACTTGACTGAAGTAAAGGTGTTATTTGTCCAAGCACGCAAAAACCAAAAATTGTGCGGTGGATTAGCAAAACCAAATGTAAAATAAAAAATAACGAAAAAGTGTCTTTGGTCATGAAGTAGACCTTTCCACTCACTTGCTCTTACTTACCTGCCAAACAAACGGCAATAACGGCCAAGCGTAGTGAATCCATTAGAAAGATTTTTTCAGATCTGCAAAACTCTCAATGCTTCTAACATCGCCACTGCTTTAGCAAAAGTATATAATTTAATCTGTGGCAGTAATTATAGAAATTGTAAACAATGGCAGTAGAAATGATCAAATCGACCCAATGAAATCCCATCATTTTCATTGATCGAACAACCTATATTGGAAGTAGGATGATGGATGGATACTTATTAATTATTTATGTCAAAATCGACCCTGAATTGTATTAGATTATTCAAATTCACAATGTGCTTTTCAGATTAAATCGTTAGAATAAACGTGAGCATGTACTGTGTAGCGCAATAGATATTCAGTTGATTGACCTTTTGTTTAGTAACCAAGGATACGTGACAAATCCGAACAGGTTAGGGTTAATAAGCTTGGCGTAAGAGGGTTAACCTTTTAGACATTTGCCCCGGGCGCCTGGACTGAAGTCGTACTGTATCACTCATTCTCAATATATGAACATGTAGGTTCATTTGAAGAAAAAAAAAAAAGAAAGTGAAAAATGAAGTTAAAGATATTTTCGCGGATACTACTTTTATTACATCTCTGGTGACAGAAAGTGATAAATCTAGCTTTTGTGCAAATCATGGAAAATTTTTGAAATGCATTGCTAGTATGTGAAAATTTTCGTAGCAAATGTTTCAGTTCTTTCAGTAACGAAAGTTTTAAAAATGATAACCCTTTTGGATAATTTGCATGTTGTTTATACTAGCAAAAATTAGACTGCGCTAAAAGGGGATTAAGCCCTATGAGATGCACGTTTATTTTATTGACAAATTTTGTCCTCAACCTCAAGTATATTTTTTCATAATGCCTGGTAACGAAGGTTTTGCAAATTACTTTCTAAGAAAATGCAGTTTTGCCGTGTTTCGTGTAACTGTACTATATCGTCTATCTAATCATGGATGTAACTGAATTGAATATTTTATTAATGGCTAAAATATTACAATAACATCAAACAACTAAAAATGACGACCTGCGTCATAAGTCGTAACGAAGTTTTTTTTTCGATTTTTAAAAATCTGGCGACACCGCAAAAGTAGACCCAAGCTATTTACCGAGTTAATTAAAATGAACATTCTAGACATTTTCTGAAACATTAGGTATCATACTAGCTTCCTGACAAGTTGCACATCGTTCTTCTTTGGTAAAAAGAAACTAGATCGATTGGAGAATAGGAGATGGTGCTGCGAGTCTGTCTGTCTGTCTGATTTTTGTGTGAAAACAGATAAATCTAATAATGATTATATTTATTAAGTTGCTTGACTAATTAAAGTTAAGTTCCACTTGGGCAAACAATTCTTCCGCTTGTTTGCTTTTCATAATTTTTTAAAAATTTTTGAATAAGTGAGTATACGATTTTCCGTGCGAAANTGTTAACACGAACTTATCTCTTCCCCATAGTGTACTAGCTAGACTTCTTCACTGCTAAGCTGATGTAAGACTTATGTCCTATTACCGCACACGTAATCGGCTTATAACTCATTAACTGTGCTCCGACCCCCTCATGGCAACGGCCCTTAGTAACAGAGGCGTGGCTTAGTTGTCAGCCTGACTGGGGCGCGTGCCGGTTGAAAAACTCATCAAAAGACACATTTTGCGATGCAAATTCATAAAAATTATTACATGCAACATTAGATACTTTTTTGATTAATATAAACACACAAAAAAACTCAAAAACATGATTTTAAGCGTATTTAACCCTATCACCAGCCTTAAGTTGCCTTAAGTCAGCTTCTTCATGAGTACCACAAGTGGCACAAATATCCTGGTTGCATGTACACTATGATGTAGACTTTAAGACGGACTTTCTATAGTGCGCCCTTCTCCGCTCAAAAAAAAATATATATATATATATATATATATATATATATATTTTGAATGTCTGGTTCGTCTTAGTTAAGAACAGAAAAAAAAGACAAAGCTGATTACTGCATTGCTCCGTTTATTTTATTTAGTGATATCTGTATGCCACTGATCTAATTAATAAAATTGATTATATCCATCGACGTGACAATGGACTCAATATCGATCAGATTAAACATGAATAGATGTATGGACACACAAATTTTTGTTACTTGTGTTAAGTCAGAACAACCGATTTAATAACATAAGTTAATGGACTAAAGTTATTTGCAAAGGTACAAATGCAAATCGATGTCCTTTTCTTTGAAAACGATATTGCAAGCATACAGTAGAGAGAATAACACCATGGTCATACAACAAAAGGAGCAAACAAGCGCAGATGGCTTATGTATGCTTTGAATAATTTACGAACGTAAATCTTTAGTAATTCCAATCTTCAGCTTGTTTTTACATAGGCCAAACATGTGCATCAATGCTTTATGCAAATAATATACGCACGTTCGTAAGTGCAATCCTTAGTTTGCCTTTAGGACTCATTTTGATATAGTACATGTAATGGAACCTTACACTGTCTGTTTATTGCCTTGTAATGGTGACAGATCCATGCCCGTTATGAGCCTTGCTAGTTCCAGTGGTGTTCGAGCCCGAATTATAGGAGCCCCCTCCGCCCCCGCAGGAATTGCTGTTGTTATCCCCACTCGCTCCCCCAGAGTACCCTCCCCCTCCTCCTGCTCCTCCGCCATTGCCGTAAGCCCCTCCGCCGCCACCAAACCCGCCATCTGCATTGTAGTTTGCTGAGCCATAATATTTAGATCTTCCTCCCACTCCTCCATTAACAAAAGCTTTCCCGCCCTCGCCCCCTGTACCGCTACCTCCATACTGGGAACTGCTGCGTCCGTCGGTTAACAGGCCACCTCCGCCGCCCCCAGAGTTACTGCTGTCTGCTGTGGACGCTCCTTGTCCATTGGAGCCGCCTGGCCAAGCCGAGCCGCCGTAGCCGTTGTTGCCGGTGGTGCTCGTGGTCCCGCCGCACGTGTCGTATGCCGCACTGGGGGTTTCCACACCTCCTCCACCGCCAGCAATAATTAAAGGAGTGTCATCAGCCCGCGTTACAAACGTACCGCCGCCTCCACCAGTTGAAGAATAAGTATTTACAGGACCCATCTGTCCGACTAAAATCTTCAACTCGTCACCTAAGGATTACGAAGCATAAGCAGATTTACAATTTTGTATTGATACTTTTCTAATCACTGTTTATTCACACAATTTATCAGAAATTGCGTTTTTTTAACACATGTAAGATAGGAAGGAACCGCTAAATCCATTTGCTGCTATTTCGAGTTTATATCGGCAGTTTTGAGCTCTAAATACCCAAACATTACACACACACACACACACACACACACACACACACACACAGAGAGAGAGAGAGAGAGAGAACTCATAGGAGCGGACATACAGAAGCACAGACCGAGCGTTTTACCTGCATTTAAACTAAATGTCCCTGCGACCACGGCCCCTAGGGCACGATGTTGGCAGTTATTTTGATTCTGGTCACAGCCTCCTGCGGCACCTAAAATAACGATCACTGATTTTACTTTTGGTGCTGTCAAGCATAAATTAACTGATTATGATATTGATAGGCTATGTACATATCTTTACTGTGTGTGTGTGTGTGTGTGTGTGTGTGTGTGTGTGTGGACAAGGGGAGGGAGTAAATCTTGCCAGACCCTAACAAAACCACCTATTTTCAAGATGCTGAAACGAAGACAACCATTTTCCCATGAAATCTAGCACTTTAGGGCACCTACCTTTCACTTCGATCCTGTAGTTGCCTGTCATGGGTATAGTGAAAAACTGGATACCATTGATTAAGGTCACCATTCCCTCGTGGTCCTGGCCATCATAGTGAGAACCTATGGAAGTGGGCCCAGTTCTCCCTGTGGCGCCAAGATTGGTAAATGTCGCCGTGTTGAAAGCTGAAAGTGAGTTGAAAGGAGTTATTGAACTATTTCGTCATTTACAGTTTGACGGATCGCATTTGGATACAGAATCATTTTGTTCAGTCGATCACAGGAATAACGATTAACTATGGCTGTATTCCCAGAGCTTTTAGATCGATCTATCCCCGCGGGGAGTCTCGCTAGATTACTGTCAGATAAACCGGCTTAAATGTCCGTCCCGCCTACTACAAGCTGTAAGAGGGTAATTAACTTTCGTGTCCGCTCGGCTGACAGCTATTTAGCGTGAACCCCCAGGGAGTTAGGTCGATCTAAAGTAGATCGATCTAATCTCTGGAAATGGGGTCATAGCATTAGTAGTTAATACTTATGGTTATAAAATAAACTCAGAATATAAATCTGTTTTCGTTAATCTGAGGTCTGATATAATATTGACAGAAGTCATCACCACATATAAAAGGTAACTGGCTGATAACATCACCGATTATTTTTAACGGCTAAAAAAGGGAAATCCGTAAAATATGTGTCAATTTTTGTTATCTTAAAGGACAATAACTTTTCTGGGATCTGCAGGTCAACATATCGACTTTAGCCAGTCCTTAATTGTATACTTTAAAAAATAACTCGTGATTTAAATCGATTAGGTTGCACGTCTGACAACACTAATGCATATCAAAAAGTATTCAGCATAATGTAGTATACCATGGCGATGGCATTGGCATTCGACATTGACAGTAAGGACTGTAGGTCCGATGAATGAGAGGAGCTGCATTTTTCCAGCTGCAGAAAGACTTACGTATCTGGCACGTTCTACCATCCGAGCTGAGCAGCTTATCCCCAGTACACTCACACTTGTAACCTCCCCACGTGTTGACGCACGTCTCTTCACAGTCATGAGAACCGCTCGTACACTCATCCTTGTCTACCACAATTTAAAAACAAAATATTTGTTATTGATATAAAATTTGTAGATAAAAAAAACAACAACAACGACGGAGTGAATGTCCAGTTCTTTGATTTAATTATGAGCATACAAATATATTACTTAATGTAGTTATATTAGTCTAATGATTTCCCAACCAGTAAGAAAATAGTCATACCCAGTAATAGCCGGCACAATCCGCCGTTGGGGATATACTTTGCACTAGTGCAAGTAAATCCTTCGTTTCCCTTAGGAGTAAATTTGTTACACTCTGCAAAACAATCGCCGATGCTCATGGGGGCCTCGTGAAAGACGGCGGAGAGGTTCGCATACTGGGAGTACCCGGCACCATCCACTACGACACCTGAAGACATAAGCGATGGGCTATAAACTCGATAAAAACAATTCCATTTGTTGCAAACCTTGCAGGCTTTCAATTGAAAAGCACATTGTATTAAATATTTTAGGAAAATGAATCTTGAGAAAAACATGCGTATTGTTGACTGTAAAACATTCGGCTCCGCCAACTGTTTCTACAACAGTTCTTGAAGAATTGTTCCTAGTAGGTTGTTGAAGCTACTTGAACACAGACTGTACACCAGAAAAAAAACCATCAGATAGAGATTTGATCTGCATAAAAAAGTTTTAACCACAACTGACGTGTCATTGACAGTTCTACGAAAGCAGTTTTATGCCTATCCCTACACGTTGCTTGAACATTCTCGTGTATGGAATTCAACAATAAACGTAATACAAGACATGTATTCCCATGTCCGGGTAATACCAAAGACCATAAAAAAAACGGTACCCGATGCCTCCTAGCTAAGCACTCAGCACATGAAGGATGTAGCAAAGTTATATGGTGATGATGGCCTGAGAGCTTTAAAACGGGTGAGGAAATGGCCTGTAAAATGTCTGTAAACACTAAGTGCCCAGTAAAGTACATGTAGTATTATTATTATTGTTAATTTGAGCATCACATATACCGGTGCTTAGGTGAAATGGGTGAAATATATGAAGTGTAGAAAAGCCAGCAACTAGCAGATTTTAACCAAAGCTTTACAATGTACAGTATGAGTTGTAATAATTACTGCATAAATCATAATTAATATCATTACAAACATCAGAAACATGGGATCACATCGGATACCAATTGTTAAAATAATCGACAAAAATGTTGATTGAACCATTTTGACAGAGTGACGTGTCACCAACCTTCTAAGATATTATTTATTAATGAATCATTTTTTAAGATAAAAATACAAAATTACATAGTATTGCATGTCGTTAAAACATGAATATAAAAAACAACTCATCAGAAAGCCTTTTAAGTAGTCCCTCAAGCATGTACCATGAATAACTGGAATGAGGCAACTGACACATGATCCAAAATATGATTTACTATTCTAAATGTTCTAAAACATCGTTGCATCTCCTAAAACAAAAAATGAAGTGCATGATGGAAGAAAAGATAACAACAAATGGATTTTGGCCGCGTTTTCATATTTTATGATACGGTTGCACGGAAACCATCAACTTTCACCCGCAACTTGACTGAAGTAAAGGTGTTATTTGTCCAAGCACGCAAAAACCATTCGAAAGGGGCAACGTTGGCCCCTTGTGCGGTGGATTAGCAAAACCAAATGTAAAATAAAAAATAATGAAAAAGTGTCTTTGGTCATGAAGTAGACCTTTCCACTCACTTGCTTTTACTTACCTGCCAAACAAACGGCAATAACGGCTAAGCGTAGTGAATCCATTAGAAAGATTTTTTTTAGATCTGCAAAACTCTCGATGCTTCTAACATCGCCACTGCTTTAGCAAAAGTATATAATTTAATCTGTGGCAGTAATTATAGAAATTGTAAACAATGGCAGTAGAAATGATCAAATCGACCCAATGAAATCCCATCATTTTCATTGATCGAACAACCTATATTGGAAGTAGGATGATGGATGGATACTTATTAATTATTTATGTCAAAATCGACCCTGAATTGTATTAGATAATTCAAATTCACAATGTGCTTTTCAGATTAAATCGTTAGAATAAACGTAAGTATGTACTGTGTAGCGCAATAGATATTTAGTTGATTGACCTTTTGTTTAGTAACCAAGGATACGTGACAAATCCGAACAGGTTAGGGTTAATAAGCTTGGCGTAAGAGGGTTAACCTTTTAGACATTTGCCCCGGGCGCCTTGAATGAAGTCGTACTGTATCACTCATTCTCAATATATGAACATGTAGGTTCATTTGAACTAAGATCTAATATCCGTTTATTAGATCTTAGATTTGAAGAAGAAAAAAAGAAAGTGAAAAATGAAGTTAAAGATATTTTCGCGGATACTACTTTTATTAAATCTCTGGTGACAGAAAGTGATAAATCTAGCTTTTGGGCAAATCATGGAAAATATTTGAAATTCATGCATTGCTAGTATGTGAAAATTTTCGTAGCAAATGTTTCAGCTCTTTCAGTAACGAAAGTTTTAAAAATGAACCCTTTTGGATAATTTGCACGTTGTTTATACTAGCAAAAATTAGACTGCGCTAAAAGGGGATTAAGCCCTATGAGTATATTTTTTCATAATGCCTGGTAACGAAGGTTTTGCAAATTACTTTCTAAGAAAATGCAGTTTTGCCGTGTTTCGTGTAACTGTGCCCTGTTACATGTACCATATCGTCTATCTAATCATGGATGTAACTGAATTGCATATTTTATTAATGGCTAAAATATTACAATAACATCAAACAACTAAAAATGACGACCTGCGTCATAAGACGTAACGAAGTTTTTTTTTTCAATTTTTAAAAATCTGGCGACACCGCAAAAGTAGACCCAAGCTATTTACCGAGTTAATTAAAATGAACATTCTAGACATTTTCTGAAACATTAGGTATCATACTAGCTTCCTGACAAGTTGCACATCGTTCTTCTTTGGTAAAAAGAAACTAGATCGATTGGAGAATAGGAGATGGTGCTGCGAGTCTGTCAATGATTTTTGTGTGAAAACAGACAAATCTAATAATGATTATATTTATTAAGTTGCTTGACTAATTTAAGTTAAGTTCCACTTGGGCAAACAATTCTTCCGCTTGTTTGCTTTTCATAAATTTTTTAAATTTTTTGAATAAGTGAGTATACGATTTTCCGTGCTAACTTTTTCAATTTCAACAACATGACCTTGAGGTCACTTAAGGAAAATCCATTGTCGATTGAAAAGTAATCGTAAGGGCCCGTTTCAGTCTCAGGGCAGTTGTCGTACGCCTTCCGTGCGGCTTCCTTGAATATCGATACGTTATCGGTACCGCCCCCTACGATTGACCCATGTGAAGATAACGCACTTCAGATTCATGCAATCACTAGCTTAAAAATAGCTTTACTGTTGTTGATCCCTCTAAAAAATCAAAGGTTGAAGTGAAAGAGACTAACAACAGATTGACAAAATCGTAGAGGCTATTCTGATACCGTGAATCCGTAGGCCTACGATAAGGCCTACGTACAGTTCGATATCACAGGGCCACTACCGGCCTCTGTACAAACGCCACACGAAAAGAGATTTATGAGAGTATACGAGCAACATCTCATGGCAAATGTAATCTATGCTTTACTTGTGCAAAACAGTGAGTAACGGGTTTTCTATTAATTAGCATGTTCAACGCTAAATCACACATAAAAACAACGCGCGCCATATATTTCTCCTTCCCCGACAAACACATGCACACACACAAAGAAGACACGCCTCGGTTTTTTTAGGAAATATATTAACAGATGGCATGATCACCGATTTTTGTCTCAACAGTGCTGATATAATGATAACAGCTTATTTATTTTTTGCGCATCCAACATTTCCAAAATAGAATAGTCTATATTAGTCATTGTGATAGGTGTCTGAGGGATGCATTGTGTTAAAGTGGTGCTGTAAAGTAGGTCATGTGACATTTGTATAAACAAGATGGTGGACCGACCCTCCCCCCATTCATCAGGTTGTTGAACTTATTGAGCTGTATTTTTAGGTAAGTGATATCGGAATGCAAAAGAATAACCGGTTCAGTAGTAAAATTCTCATGGGCCATTTCTGAAGTACTTAGCTAGAATTTTTATGTACCTCTCCTGGAAACTGAGTTTTTGTTTCACAATTTTGAATGAGTGTCATTGATTCAAAAATACATGTAATGTATTCGTACAAATTAATGGTCGTTCATGTTCCATATGCGTGAAAGCTACTTGTAGCTTTTTATCCATTATAGACAGCATGCACGACAGCATTTATATATTATAATATATTTGTAAGGAGTTGAAGTATGAAAAGGTGTGCTCGCAGAAATAGTTCTACTCCACACGCTCGGCTGTCTCCTCGATTTGTCAGAGAAGCTACTGTAGAAACCACATAAAACGACATAAAAGTACCACACTTTAATATACCCCAGTTGTTTCTTAGTTTTGCTGAAAACATTTGTGTCCTTATGTAAAAGGTATTATGTTACTGTTACTACTACAGATTTTAGATGAGAGTGCATCACCATGCAGCCCTGTTGATTTAGGTACATGTACATGTGTACTGAGTACATATAAATTCAATTTACAAGGTGGACCAAATCTACAGTACTATTCTGCCTCAGAGTACTATCAATTGGCTTGATTTAATAAATAATGCAGTTTAAATAACACCATATGAGACTTTATCAGTATTGATGATATCCTCTCTGACTATTGATAACCTGTTTTCATTCATGGTATTGTCTGCCATAATCTGGTACCTGGTATATGTTTGTTCTTGTCAGAGAAAATGGTGATAGGTGAAGCTGGCATAGAATGATAGATGGGGAAGATTTTGACATATGGCTGCTTTATTGTTTGTAAGACATGTAGTGCTCAGTCAAATTAGGCATGACTACTAGTATTTTGATATAAGTTGACTTGCTGTATCAATTTAAGGAGGTAGACTGCACTGTTGTATAAGGTTCTGCTCACTTATTCATATCATTGATAATTCCTTTTAAAAGTTTGATAAAATTCTGTGCAATAATAAAAATAATAATAATCATTGCCATTCAAATGGTAAAGGTATACATATTTAGCTGCAGATTTATTTGCCAGAAATATTTTATCTTAAGTCTGTATATGTACACATGGACGATATTGTGCTTCTTTAAAAAAAAACATATCACAAGCAGTTCCTTACCATCCTAAAAGGTAATACATGGACTTTGTGCCCAGTGGTGTCTTTATGTGGCTCTAATGGGTTGGTATCAGGCTTTGTCCCTGTTTAGTTTACTGTTGTGGAGATAAGAATGCTGTGAAGGAAACATTTGCATACATATCTGAAATTACAAGTGCAGGGGGCGGATCAGGGGAGAGATTACCAGTAGGGTGGAGGATGGTACAAATGACTTATATATTTTGTCATTATAAGAAGTAGTCAAGACATTTGTCGTGCAAGATCCATTCATTGGAAAGATACCGAAAAGTACAAGTAGTTAGTAAGTGCCTTAAGATTTGTGTACGTTTTTATTAAGGAATAGCCTAGGTTTTGCAAATTACTTCATTGGACCAATCTTTGACCCTGTCATGTGTTTCAGCTCAGTGGACTCTGGAGTAGAAACTGGATCATGCTAGTCTAAGAGATGGCAGTATGAAGCAGTAGTTTTCTTTTGCAACCCTTTGCTTTATTTTTCTTATAGTTGTACACATCAGCTGACCATGTCCAGTACCCCAGAGCCTACCCCTGGGGACACCCTTCCAGCAACCACAGAGACCCCACCTTCCTCACAGTCCAATACACCAGTTAAAGGGCAGAAAACAGTCAAGAAAGGTATGTAAATACTCTGGAGTAAAATTTTAACGGGGATGATGTTATAAGAGTTTCTGTATTGTTTTCTTCATCCATATCCTTCTTTGGGCAATACAATGGTTTATTGACAGTATAAAGTGATAAATGGGCAAATACTGTTGAACATATTAAATTTGTTATTTAATATATATATATATATATATTTATAATCAGAAATTTTGTGCTGTTCCATCCTGGTGTATACTTATCCTTACTATATTGAGTTGTTGTTTTTTTTTACATTATTTTTTTCCTTTTGCAGACAAAAATGACCCTGCCCGGTTTGAAGGCGAAGGTGTTAATTTCAAAGCAAAGTTGATAGGTATTGATGATGTCCCTGATGCTAGGGGAGACAAAATGTGCCAAGAAACTGTCCAGAAACTCAAGATGGCCATTAGGACTGCTAAAGAACACAAGCAAAGGATTATTCTCAACATATCAGTGGATGGAATGAAGATTATTGATGAAAAAACAGGGGTACTCTTATTTAATATTTCTTAGGCAAACCTTAAAAAATTCGATAACTTTTAAAAACTTTTGTCAAATTTTAGAAGTAGAATTTACAAGTATTTAATTGTCTGGGTGAACACAGCATTTTAGTTCTTGTCCAAGGCTGCTTAGAATAGTTAGATAAAAAATGTACCCAATTAATGCTAGTATGATTTCACCACGTTGCTTAGGGCTGTATGAAGTTGTGCTGATAAGTTTATTTGTTCTGTTTAATTGTGTGTATTTTTGATAAGTTAAGATTTTTAAAATCTTTTAGACAGGTAAAAATACCTGATTTTTAGTACCCCAGTTTTCCCTAGATGAAAAATAGTTTTATACATCATTAAGTGTTTTCGGTAATATCTCAGTGATTGTATTTATTATCTGTTCCTTTTATGCTCATTGTTATTGTATGCAGGAAATCTCATCTTCACTCTAATGTACCAGTGTTCAAAATATGCTATTTGGTCACCTTGGTCAGTGTCACCTAGACATGAACTGGTTTAAGTGTAATTACCTCTCTGTATACACTTGTATCTGTACATATACTTGCAGGCAGTAAACCATACCCACCCAGTACACAGGATCTCCTTCATATCCAGGGACGTCACAGATGCCAGGGCATTTGGATACATCTTTGGACCTGGAGATGGGAAACACAAATTCTTTGGCATCAAAACTGCTCAGAATGTGAGTTAATAGATGCAGAACTGCTTTTTTATGTACAGACACAGATGTGTCTGTACATATAGCCATCATCTGCGTCTGTCGTCGCCGTCGTCGCCGTCGCCGTGCACTTTTACCGATAACACGATAAGTGGAAAACCATTTTACCTTTTGACTTGAAACTTACAGAACTGATGAATGTTCATAATACGCAGGTCAAGTTCGAAAATCAGCATGATCGGGTCACTTTTAGGGAATTTATGCTGTTTTTTCACTTTTTTCAGCATATATGAAGCACCGATAACACGATAAGTGGAAAACCATTTTACCTNTGCCTTGTTTATACTTCATTAGGCACCCCTTTTATAGTAGCCATTATTTTTTGGACTGCTCATACATTTGCCTCATGAAATGAGAACAAATTTTCTATATTTACTGTAGATGGCTAGAATTTGTATATTTATTGTTGAAGAAGCATTTTGAGAAAGCATGGCCTTTGTGGTTACTTAATGTAAAACTTTATTTTCAATGTAACAATTTTAAAATTATCTGTTCATAAAATAATATATAGAATGAAGGTTTGTGTCCCCACAAAAAAAGGATATTGTTTGACTTAACTGCACTGTACAATTTTAGGCAGAAGGGGTTGTCCTGGCCTTGAGAGACTTGTTCCAGTATGTCTTTGAGATGAAGAAAAAGGAAGTAGCAGAAGCTAAAAAACAACAGGAAGAACAACAACAAACAACAGAAAATCAGGAGAGCACATATCAGGTACGTCTTCAAAGATTTTTAAGCCATTTGGACCAATTGGTTTTCCCCAATGCTAACTTATGAATGTATATATACAATTATGTACATGCAGTTCAGGGTTACGACAAACATGTTAGTAATATGACCCTTTATCAAGTAAGTAAATACAATGCCTTTTTTTGCATCTGCAATATGCTAGCTCTGTGTACTGTTACCATGAAAATTGTAAACTCTTCCTCAGGTCCCCACCAACAATGGTCCAGTATCAGCAGCTGAAGGAGAGAGTGCATATGCTGTAAGTTTTTAACATATCTGAGGGATTCTCTCCTATATTTTGTACTGAAAACAAATTGTTATGTCAAAATAAATACACTAAATGTGGATTGGGCCAAATAGCATTAATAATACAAATAAGTGGGTAGCTTGCAGCATACAGTATTAAAAGATATTAATGTGAGGCCCATAGCATACTCTTGTTACTAAGATTATCATGTACTGTTGGGAATAAACTTGGATGACATAAGGTTAGCTTTAGATCTGTAAATAATGTGTTCAACTGCAGTGCTGCCATCTTTGTCTAAGCAACAAAACTGATATATTGCTAGGTCCCCCAGAACAATGCACCTGTAGTAGCCCCCAAGCAAGAGGAGAGCAGCAGTTCAACTGGAAATCTATTGAACCTGGAGACAGAACTGGAAACTTTACAACAGGGAATCAAGCAGATTGATGCCTTTAACCATGACTTCTGGACCAGCACTGAAGGCAGTCTTGGGTCAGGAAAATCTGCACCAGACCCATTTGTTGTGAACAGAACACCTGCCTGGGGAACAGCACAGATGACAGCTACGGGAGCCCCTGGTGGAGCATGGGGACAACCCACACCAAATGCTCAAATGAATTTTCAAGCAAACTTCCAACAGCAAATGCCGGTAATGTATCAACAAGTTTGGCAGACCTGTAATTTAGCTTAGTTATGAAGAATAACTCACTGAGACATCAGGATATAGATGCTTGATTGCACTCTCATCTCCAGTTGCACTGGCCACATACATCAAACAGTACAGAAAGGATTACATAAATGATGGCTGCCATATCAAACCACCTTCCTTAAGTTAGGACTTGAAATGCCAGAATGACATGTGTTATACTTTGATATCTGTACTTACTTATACTGGATTATTAAAAATAGTGTGGTTTTTGAAAATAGTTGAGGCCTTTGAAAGGTTTTTTGTTTGTTTGTTTGTTTTAAAGACTATAAATGATATTTTAATGAAAATGCATTGACTGTATTCACAAATTGGTCCAATATATTGCATATGAAAATTGTGTTTTGACTAGGCGCAGCCAGGAATGCAACAACAGTTTGGTACCCCATTTGGAGCCCCTGCTGCATTTAATAATGTAAGTATCTTCCCTCCCTCCCTTCCTTGGTTGATTATTGCCATGTATTTTTCAGCAATTCACTGCTCCTCCTTTGTCAAAAATGCTTAAACTAATGAAATATACTATATTTGGTCATAATTCAGTTTCATTTCAAATCTGGTCAATCTGTTATAATCAAGATTTGTAAATGTCTTATATGTGTTTTCTTTGTTATTCTAGCCAGCACCTACAGGGCTTCCCAAGGCTACAGACCCTTTCAATGACCCCTTCTTCCAGTCCAAACCAGCCCCCTCTCAAGCACCAAAACCACAGTTTAACTCACCCTTCAGTGCTTCCAACATGTCAGGAATGGGATTTAATCAGCCTGCATTTGGCGCACCTCCATCACAACCACCCCCTGCAGCTTCCAAGCCAGATCCTTTCAGGGATGATCCATTCTTTAATCCCCCTGTAGTGACATCTGCGGCCCCTGCTCCTGACATTGTACCCCAGGGAGATGACAGATACCATGGATTGGATGCCTCTCTGTTCACCACAGCTAATCCTGAACCTGCTGTTCCTACACCTTCCATGGATCCTTTCACGGGCGACTCCCCCCTGGTGCCAACTCAGATTCCAGGGAGCAACCCCAATGAAATACAATCAGTGCCAAGCAACACAAAAAAGAGCATGTTTGAAGATTTGGATATTTTAGGCAAAAAAACATCATCATTTGTTCCAGCTTCTCAACTCTTCAAGGCTGCTGAGCCACCAAAGAAAAGTTTGAATGAATTGAAAAGTATTCCTCAAGGTAGTTCTATTAGTTCAAGTTCAAATAGTGATACCATAGATCCATTTTCTGTAGATTTTGCACCACCAACTGTAACCTCTGCACAGCATACCTTTGCTTCTGATTCAGATAGCATGAGCACTGCTTTAAGCTTCGGTCCCTCTCCCCCTGTCCCCAAACCAAGGTCACTTCCAACACAAAAGGCACAGAAAACAGAAGTCAGTTTTGATGATGATTTTGGTTTGCCCTCTCCAGATGCACCCCCACCCCCTCTGCCCAGACAGGGTACTATAGACATAGATGAGGCCCCAGCACCTCCCCCACGCCCCTCTCAGAGCTCAGCTGCACCATCTGCTTTACCCCGCTTGCCAGCCCCACCTGTGCCAAAACCTAGACAATCACTACTCAGCAGTGACTCCACTAGTGCAAGTGGCTCCCCTGGTGTCAAGCAAAATGGTGTCCAAGCTGGTCAGCTCAGTGGTGGGGCTGTGGACCCTTTTCATGGTCCAGTGTCCAGTGGTGGGGTCAGTAGTGGTGCTAGTCAGCCATTTGGGAACTCATTCAATGATGATTTCTTCTCCTTACCTGCAGTCCCCAGTGGGCAGGTGAGTGGACAGGTAGGTACATGTACAGATCAACTGCACTAATTACAAGAGGCTGCATTTCATAATAACTGCACTACTCAATGCATGTAAGACTAAAATTAATAATTTCATCAAGTATTTGTTATCAACAATCCCCATGTGATTCTGTTATAAACACTTGTATTTACAAATCAATAAAAAAACTATTCAAGGATACAAGGATACTTTCTTAAAATGTCTGTTTAAATTTTTTGATTTTCTCATTTACCTTACATAAGCATGTACTATCATTAAATGTTTGAATAACATTTTCCCACAAACAATGTAATATATAATATCTGATTTTTCTTACATAAAGTAAAACATTCTTTTTGAGAGTGATCAACACATGGTAATTCTACTTCAGGGAGCCAGTGATCCTTTTGGATTTGGAAATTTTGGTGAACAAATTCAGGTAATAATTTGGTTTAAAATTTTAATATTGTTGCTATTCAAATATACAAGCATTATAACAGTGTTTTCATGACTCCTTTAGACTGAAATTGACAGTTCTTCTTTCATCTTAAAAATTACAAGGTATTGAAAAAATCTGTCAGATTCTGAGATTGATGTGATTTGGTTAAGGCATGGGAAATGCATTTAGATGATTTTAAAATATGTATACATGTCAGGGCTCAATATATCTACAGGAGTAATTTGCCTGGCTGATTTCTGCTGTCAGCTTTCTTTGTATTCAAACCTGCAAGGCGTAGAGGCATTGATTTTGGAGTGGGACAAGCAACTTTCCAGATCTACTTGCCTGATGGAGCTAGTTTCTGAAATAAGTTTGTCTAGCCCTGATACATTATCACATAGTGCATAATAATTGCATAAATTGAAGGTTTTGCTTTATTTTAGGAACCAATATATGCAACAGTGAACAAACCAAAGAAGCCTACATGAAACTTGGCAGACTGGAGACCCCAACCGTCCAAGTTACTTTTTATCATTTCTACCTTCTACATTCTATTTATAAGGATGAGGAGCTAATACTCTAGTTCCAGGATCAAAGTTACGTATCTATGATCAAATGAACAAATACTGAAGGCCACAGATATTGAATAACTGCATCAATGACAACCTCTGTGTTTATAGTAAATTTACTTGTTTTATTACATATCTTTGACAAAATTAGTACAATTTACTCAAACAAATTGAGGCATTAAGTATGCATTTTTGAACTGTCTCAAGGGGATCAGTGGGGTGCAAGGTGATGCGATTTAATGATTTTTATGTTAAAATGGTAAACATACCTGTCTACATTTCATTATTAAGTCTAAGGTCAATAAGAAGTGCCAAGATTGATTTTATATCATTCATAATATTACTTAATGTCTATGCCTTAGTTCAATAGGGACGCAAAGCATCTTTAATGTTGTTAATATATATTCAATTTTATATTGTTAATTGTTGGTAGTGTATAGAATGATACTGCTATATATATACAAGGCAGAATCTATTAAATGCATATGTATTGATAAAGACTGAAGTCTTTTAAGGCAAGCCATAATCTAGTAAGCTTAATTGGTTTTGAGTCCAATAAGGCCTGTATTTTTTGTGATTCAGAAATGTTTTAAATTGGTGTTTAATTTTCTGCAATGTTTGTTATACTTCTATATTATTTCTCTCTTGTTTAATGACATTGCTAGTCAATTTTATTGTTAGTCGACCTTAATTTCAGAATCTTGAAAAAAATCAAAATTACACAATTCATGCATGTGAAAATGATAATTATACACATTTTACAAGTAGGATATGACACTCTTGATTCATTCCAAAGACATGATCAGTTGCATATAAATTTAAAGATGTTAACTTATGCTCCAGTAATATGCCAAGCTAAGTATGCAGAGTCCAATCAAATAGAAAATGGAAAGAATACAATGATTTCATTCCACAACTGTAATATTATTATTGTCACAGGTACATGGTATACTGTAGATACCGTATATCTGCAGTCTGTAAAAGGAAGGTTTACAGCAACATAGTCTTTGTTACTCACACCTGCTAATACAAGTTGTGAGAACAACCAGTAAGATCAAATGTATCGAGTTTTGAACTGATGTTTTATTCATGATTTTAGCCAACTTCAATTTTGTGCCCAGAAAACACATTTCAGTGGCATGTCATCGTTATCAAAAGGTGAAAGGAAACATGGGAAGTGTGCAAAGGTTTTGTAAACATCTTTTTTGTGATTTTTGTCAGCTGAATGAGGACAAATCATTGATATTTGGCAAATTAACAGGGTCTAATTGCACCAAAGATATGAAGTGTCCCAAATAAGAAATTATCAATATTCTTGTTTTACTTTTTCTATTTTTTTTTTTTTTATATTGATTGTTAACAGCATACAGTGTGAAAATACTTGTGTATCATAACTTTTAGTGAACAGCATTCACATTCCTGTGAATGTTATTCAATTGTTGCGGACCGAGTTGCAATTATCCTTATTATTATTATGCTATAACTGTATTACTTATTCATGTTAGAACAGTTGCTATCTTGCTAACTTACAGTTAACTATAGGAATGCACAACTTGTTTTATGTTAATTTTAACTGTTTAAAGCAGTATTGTATTAAGAAAAAATGTTTAGTTGAAATTATAATCCATCAAATATTACATTGAAAATCGGCATATAGTCTAGTGTACAAGCTTTATTAACCGTTCAGTGATGCTTAGGCAATACATAAGTTGCATGTTCAACATTGTGTACCATCTGTAATTGAAAATATATGATCTAACATACTTTTTAATTTTTTTCTTCCCTTACTATTCTATTATCAATGTTTTCAAAATTTCAGAAACATCGTTGAAAGTTCAAACAAAGATTGTCTATAGTAGTAAAACAAGATCATGTGACACAATAGAAACAGAGTGTTCACTGAGTAACACGGGATGTAATTTTCTGTATCAAAAGGTGTTAGATCATCTTTCTTTCAAATACTGTTTTCATTTTTTTCTACAATTGCAAAATATATCAAATTGAAATATGAACTAGAGGGTGTCAAAGTGACTGCTTGCCTCTTTTTAATTTTAACTTCAGTTTTTTAAATTGCTTTGTTTTCCAATCCCATTCCTTCACATGTTATTTGCCATGTTTCCCCTTGAATCTGTTTAACTTCAAACTTGGCCTAGATAAAACAAATAATGCAAAAAAAGTCATTCACCCTTCTACAACAGATTAGAAATAAGATCAACCAAATACATTTGTTAAGGATGATGCTCATGTAAAACTTTCTGCTAAATTAATTTACCACACCTAATTTAAAACAATTTCCTGAATCAAAGTATTATTACTTTCTTCCTCACTCTTACCGGCTGAGGCATTTGGATAATTTTTACTTTCATTTTTGTCTTAGATGAAATAATGAATATTCGTACAAGTTTCTTTCAAATGCTATTTCTTACCTGCAACATCTGCTGAACCAAATGAATTGCTACATGTATATCTTACTCATTGTCTGCTGTGGCATTCTAGATTGCTAGATCTCTTACCCATGTCATATGTTATTACATAGTTTAATGTATCTCACATGCACGGTTTTATAAACTGCTGTCACATACATTGCTCTGTCTTACCTGTGTCATCTGCTGTGCCACATGGATTGCAGTCTCAGTGTGTAAACTTATTGGACCACACATTATCACAGATTTGCCCTTAGCAAGGGCCATAAAAATTATAAGCTAGAAATGAAAAAGTAAAATAGCATAACTTCAGACAGATTCTACTAAATAAGAAGAATAAAACTGCCGTATGTGTTAACACTTAAAGCTAGGGATAACAACTCTTTGTATGAGATTCATATTTAACAATAACTACTTTGTAAACAACTCGTAGAAATATAATAAATTCTATTTTACCACCAAAACGATGTTATTGCAATTATTGTGGAATCTGTGTTTGCCATCCATGTGACCTCTATGAGAGATGATTATAAAAAACTTTTTAGGAAAAAATAGGGGCCAACTTTGAATGTCGGAATGGATTCACTACTCATTGATAAGTACGAGAAAACTGTGGTTTACCCCAGATAATCCATTCTTTGGCCAAAATGAACAGTTGTTATCCCTTTTATTAAGTAATTCTTCCAACATGGCTAAATGACTGAATGATAAATAATATTGCCTTTTGATCTTACACACAAAAATTAACTAGGCAGCAATATCAAATATGCAAACCTGATTCAAGACTATGAATTTAGTGAAATGTTTAGTACAAAACTTAAATAGCAATCAACAAGAAATCAAAATACCTGATCTTGTAAGTACTCATCCACACATCCTCCATGTTCCAGACTAGTTAACAACATAGTTGCTGCACTTTCACCAACATCTTGAGCAGGAAGACCTAAATATATATATAAATTGTTGTTTTATTTTTGTATATATATAAATTGTTGTTTTATTTTTGTATATAAATTGTTGTTTTATTTTTGTATTATTGTTGTATTATAATCATACCTACACCAATCTTATACATAAATTTGAAATTTGTATGATGTGAAATGTGATGTGTTAAAGCATCATTAGTAAATTTCTTTATAGGCAGATCTCTGTGCAAATGTTCATGTTCATTGATATGATACCGTCAAACATGCACGCAAAACATCAAACAGTAGAGAACAGCAGAAATTAGATTTAAAACTAGTTTTGAAAAGAAAAATATTAAAAACAAGCTGTGTTATTTATCTATTATTTATTTTTTGCATTGAAAAAAGTATTGTAATCGAGATGACTACAAAGTGCATGTGCTCACAGGGGTGTAGGTGTTAGAATGAACCTCCCTTTTTGCCAGAAAAGGCCCATTTAGAATCAAAATTTGATCTAGGTTCTATGTTCTACTTCTCATCTTGGGTCGCATGAACCAGACATGAGCATAAGTTTTAGAATATCTCTGAACATCTATTGTGGGGAAAAAAACACTTATCAGCCAGCTGGGTTCCAGGGCCGCTTTAGGTCCTATAAGAATGGAGTTAAAAATCCCGGAATTCAGTGATTCTGGTAGAAAAGCTCATGTCTGCAAAGGGTAAAACAGACCCCACTTTTTCAGAAAAAGAAACCCCCTTTAAAACAGATTTTCATACTTACCTTTCTGACCTAGAGCTGATCCAGCCAGCCTGCAGCCAGTGCTTGTTTCTGCTACCAAACTACAACACCAAACATGATCAAGATATTCATTCAAGCAAATAGTAAACTTGAGGATCAGAGAGGCGATACCGCCTCCGAATATTGTACCACCAGCTGGAGTAAGCGCGATCGTATAGACCCCCCACACACACAAAAAAGGGACACCACCACCAGTCTTGTGCTTGACAAGCTGTAAAAAATGCAATCAACAAGAATTCTCAAAATATGCAAAAAAAAGTATATAACTAAAAATGGTACAATCAAAGTTCAGTTAGTAGTAAGGTAGGGTAAAGGTCAATTTCAAGGTCACAGTAAATTTCCAGTATATGACTTCCTATTCAAGTTCAATAGTAACTATGGACACATCTCTGCCAGTATTGGAGATAAAAGGGAACCAAAATTTGTAAACTTCAATTCATGATGAAAAGTAGGTCAAAGGTCAATTTCAAGGTCACACTTAGATTGTCTCTAATGACTTCTATTCAAGTTCAATAGTTACTATGGGCATATTTTTGCCAGTTTTGGAGATAAAAGGGAACCAAAATTTGCAATGTTAAGTTCATGGTAAAAAGTAGGTCAAAGGTCAATTTTAAGATCACAGTAAATTGACTTTAATGACTTCTTATTCAAGTTCAATAGTAACTATGGGCGTATCTCTGCCAGTTTTGAAAATAAAAGCATTAAAAAATTGCAAAGTTCAGTTTATGGTGTAAAGTAGGTCAAAAGTCAATTTCAAGGTCACATTTAGATTGCCAGTATATGACTTCCTATTCAAGTACAATAGTAACTACGGACCTATCTCTGCCAGTTTTGGAGATAAAAGGGAACCAAAATTTGCAAAGTTCAATTCATGATGAAAAGGGACTAAATGTTATAATTTTGGAGTTACAATAATGTGCCATAAATTTCGTACAGAAAAAATTAATTAAAATAAAGAAAAGGTCATTTTGGTCAAAAATTCTTGAAATGGGAGGTGCTCCGAAGTTCCAGATGTTCAAATTTGATGAAATTATGTCATTTTTGACCACAAGTCGCCTGCCTCGCCAAGCCTTATGTTTTATTTTTCCGGGGTTCAAAATTTATTATCCATTACCATACTGCACATTTTGCTTTCACCACCAATATGTACTTTTTGATACAGCGTAACTCGAAAACCGTATGGAATACAAAACAAGGCAGCAAAGCTGTCAAATGTACAGACAAAAAGCAGGAAATAACAAAATAGGCTACTGTCAATTCTGATACAAAAGTACATTATGTTAAACTGCAAATTCAACATCAAATTTTAATTATGCTCAACAGGTAATACCAATGTAAGTAAAATGTGTACCAAGCATAAGGCTTCAGGCCCATGGAAGTTCAAGTTCACACTTTGAAAATGTAAAACTTCCAGAAAAAGAAGTCAATTAGACTGCTTTTCCAACGTCAGGCTGCATTTTAGTCCTGTATTTCTTTTTTGAAAGTTTTGCAATCATAAGTAACATGGTTTTCTCATAATGGTCATCATGGCAGCAGCACCCAAAATTGTGTTTTCTTTTATTCTGATGCAATATTACATAATGGTTTACAGCATAATGACAATCAATTTTTAATAAGAAAATATACCTATCATGGATTTTCAGAAAATGTGACTATCATGGGTCTTCAAGCCTGTGGAACTTCAAAGTCACACATTGAAAATGCCAATATGTGAAAAATTAAATTTTCACAAAAAAATGTTTAACTGGCAGATTGCATTGCCTACTGAAGCTATATTTTAGTCCCATGTTTCTTTCCTGTAAGTTTGAGAACAGTAAGTGACATGGTTTTTCTTAAATGGTCATCATAGTAGCAGTGCCCAAAAATAGTTTTTTTTT